TTTTAAGCTTATGAATAAGATAACTTCAAGAGATTTCTAAATTTTTGATTTTCAGATAATTTACTACAGATACTGATCCAAACAGTGAATAATTAAGTCACATAACCATACAAGATTATATTCAAGCATCATCTGCTTTCTTAAATATTTCAAGAAATATGCATACAAATTAATATACTGTTCTACCTTCCATTATCTTTACTTTTATGTTATCAATTGCATTAAGGAGTGAATTACTAGAAAGTGTCATCTGGGTACATTATAAATTTTTAATAATAAATTTTAATAGTTACATTTTGAACATACTGAAACTAAAGTTAAAGGTTTAAGAATTATCACATTATTCCCAGGAAAAATACAACAAGAAATAATTTAACTCACAGTTTTTAAAATTTAGATAGATTGGATGGACACACTTAAATTTATTAGTATAAGTAGCAAATGGTTATGCTTATAAGTTGAATCATTATCCTAACTAAATAAAATGTATCCAATGTAACAATTCTCTAAAATGCTGAATGAAATATTAGTACTTACCAATGAAGGGAGGCTCTGTAATCCAAATTTTAACTGTCCACTTCATTTAACAAAAAACAGCGACCATTTATTAATAAGTTCATCACAAATGTTTTTTAAAAATACAACTTACTGGCATGCAGCCCTAAATATGGATCAAATATTTAAAAATATTATAAGAATTAATTAGAATTAAAAAAAAAAGAAGAAAAAAAACATGAACAAATAACTTTAGCTTTCTTACTTAGAAATGAGAAATAAGCAACAAAAAATCTTAATATCCTTAACAAGTGCTTTATGAAATTGTGATAGATGATCACATTAAATCCTTTTTTTTAAAAAAATACATTATTTCTCAAATAATATAATCTTAATTATTTGAGAAAAAAATATTTTTTTTCTTCAGAAATAAACATTGATATTAATAAAAAAGTAAGAAAAAACCCTACAAACAAAATAGATGTCTTATTCTACAGCATATGAAGTACTTTATGAAATTGTGATTTATGATCTATGGTCACAAGAATTTCAATAAACAAGCGTAAGCCTTAGGCTATAATTCTCAAGTTAACGAGGCCCTTTGAAGTGGTGATATACTGATAATGATCTGTGATTTGATTATTAGTAAAATCTGGGAATCCTGCATTATAATTATATCTATATTATTTCCAAATAAAATATGATCTTTTTTCTAAAAATAATTTTATAACATTAGTCACAAAATATCAAGTTTTTGTTATCTTTCTCAATAAATAATTGGTACCCACTAAGGCCATTGCTCACTAATTACTCAGCTAACAAGCCCCTTTGGTGTGGTAATGTTAATGGATTATCGATTATAAGTAAAATTACATCTCCTTTTTTAATTCAAATAATATCTCTAGGTGAAATAAATAACAAAAAAGTCAAAATCTAATTTTAAAAATATCTGTAACATGATGAAAATTCACTGTATCCCACTGTAACCTTATGTAACCCTTGTATCCCTGTATCCCTTGTCATGTGGGGGTGAAAAATAATTGTGTTTTTGTGCCATATATGGAATTTAGGGCACCCGACGATATAAGAATTTAGTTTTGCCCCAACCCAGAATAAGAAAAAAAAAATTTCACCATCATTCTACTGGGGTCCTACATATATCCGGTCGGTCTATTCACAGGCACGAGTATCGGACCTGGGATGAAAAAATATGACCAGATTGATAATAAAACCTGTGTTCATCTTAAAAGTGTCAAAAACCAAAAAAAAAATGTAAATAATGACCCCCTTTAAAATATACTATAAGTTAAGAGAAGGCCGGAAACTCCAGATTCGAGCCTACGAGCAAGGGATTCATTTCCCGAGCCGTTGTGAAAACAATTGGCCAGACAATTAAAAAAGACCTTTATCACTATTTCACGTTTGTATTAAGCTTCCAAATGAGACCGACCCCAAGTCTCTAGCCCTTCCCGTTCATGAAATATCTATCGGGAAACGAGCGAATTCGTGCTAAAAATCCTTGGTAGACAGAATTGCGGCACAACGATTCGGTACGTAAACATAGACTAATACATGTTTGTCAGCCGAGTACGGGTCAAAATTACTTGAGTTTACTAAATAATATTACTAAATACATTAAAAGGGACCACTCACAACCGTCTGTAGCATCTGATACACGCGAAATCTAGTTTCAAACCTCTACTCGGTCTTTCGATTGCTTTCTACGCCATTAGGCATCCTTGTGCGAAACGTTTCGGTTTCGATGCTATTGGCCAATCTGTAGACTCCTTACAAAATAACGAACAGCTGATTGACAATGGCGTTGAAAAGAATCTAAATACCGTGGAAAGGTTTGAAATTCGAATTTTACGTGTATCAGATGCTACTGACGGGTGTGAGTGGTCCAACTTAATGTATTTAGTAATATTATTTAGTAAATTCAAGTGATTTTGACCCGTACTCAGCTGACAAACATGTATTAGTCTATGTTTACGTACCAAATCGTTGTGCCGCAATTCTGTCTACCAAGGATTTTTAGCACGAATTCGCTCGTTTCCTGATAGATATTTCATGAACGGGAAGGGCTAGAGACTTGGGGTCGGTCTCATTTGGAAGCTTAATACAAACGTGAAATAGTGATAAAAGTCGTTTTTAATTGTCCGGCCAATTGTTTTCACAACGGCTCGGGAAATGAATCCCTTGCTCGTAGGCTCGAATCTGGAGTTTCCGGCCTTCTCTTAACTTATAGTATGTTTTAAAGGGGGTCATTATTTACATTTTTTTTTTGGTTTTTGACACTTTTAAGATGAACACAGGTTTTACTATCAATCTGGTCATATTTTTTCATCCAAGGTCCGATACTCGTGCCTGTGGGTCTATTTACCCCAAGTCTACCCAAAGACACCCCAAGACTACCCCTTGATACCCCAAGATACGCCAAGACACCCCAGACCACCCCAAGACACTCAAAAACACTTTTACTGACATGTTAATATGGTCTCAATTTAACATTGTTTACATGAGGTAACTATGCGATTTCACATGTAAACATTGAATTATCTCCCTTCATTTATTTCCCTGTATTATTTAATGTAAGATTATAAATAATTTTTGTGCAAAAAAGTTTACAATAATGAAATAATGCCAATGTTACCAGGTTTTGGTGTAGTGCATGTTTAATTCTGCGACAATGTCATTCTATGAGTAGCCTGATTATTAAATTGATCATATTTTGTTTCATAAAATAATTTTTTTTATCTGTCCCGCATTTCATTAGATTAACATAGACTTATTGTTTCATTAAAGTTGATTTTAAAAAAGAAATATTTTTTTTATAAAGAGCTTATCAAAGAATATTTCACTGATGAAAAATGTCCATACATAATTGACCATATTTGATGTATTGATGACATGTAAATAATCAGTCGTCATATATAATAAAACTTACGCAATATATCAGTTTCTTGGGGTGTCTTGGGGTAGTCCTGGGACTGAATATGTGTATCTTTCTGTCCCAGGGTAGTCTTGGGGTAAATAGACCGACCCCAAAATATGATGTTTTTTATCTGTAACTTTTATTTAAAATAATAAAAAAGAATGGAATTTACCCAAATAATTTTGGGTTCTTAATACATGTAAACATTCCTTTATCAAACATGAAATTAAACATTTGACCATAGAAATGTGTCTTTAAAGTAGGGCATTATAAGAAAGACAACTCAATTTACCGGACATTGTGTTTAATAATTTTTTGAAGTTGTGAATTGAAATTAATCTTTAAATAATCAACAAGGAAACTACGACTATTGAATAGCAAGATTAAGATATTTGAAAAACCCAGTATATCACTAGAAATAGACACGGCAGCCATGCCTGTTACGGAGAGGCCAATATATAGGTTGTACAGTAATTGAAATTAACACTATTAACCCATTACACGATATACATGCCCTTTAACGCCTTCCCCCCCCCCTTTATTTGTTGTCTCAAATGGTGAAAAAATGCCTTATTTAGGCCCTCAACACTTGTTTTTGTTTGAGAAATGTTGTTTAAAAAAGTGACCACTTTTTCGGCGCGGCCCCCTATCCAAAAGATGCATCAGGGGGTTGCTGGAAGGGGAATGTGCCCCTTTCTGTTTGGGGGGGGGTTGAAGAGGGGGCAGCAGTCCCCCTCGTCGCCAAAAAATTTTTTGACTTGTGAAAAGCTAGCTAAAAATGACCCCAGATCGATCATAAGGTAACATGTAACCAACGCTGAAAAGCTATTTCATTAGCTTAATTAATTCAGCCTTTTTACAGCCAGTTTTTTCTATGGTCAAATAGAATGAATTATGTATTTAATTATATTTCATGAGTAATTTGATATAAAGTAAATGGACTGTAAATTCTGTAATTATTTAATTGTGATCTTTTGATGGTCTGTCTTTTCAATCAAATAAAACAAAAAACAGGTAAAAAGTTATTTTCCATTTATTGAAATCCATTTTTTGGCAGTCTAAATATTTGCAGTGTGTAATTACCTGTTTGACATCAATAAAGAATAAATAAGTAATGGTGCTGGTGTCAAAAATGGCCCGCCCCAATTTAGTTAATTAACTTATATCTACTATCTAGTGATTTACATGTAAGACTACTATGACCCTTTTGTTGCTAACAAATTGTTAAACTAAAAGAATGTCTTTAAAAGTTCCAAACTCAAATAAAATACTTTAAAAATGTAGTTTACAAGCACTATTGACTTAAGTTATTTTATTCATTCCAACATGCAGTAAAAAAGAAATACAGTGTTAATAATTTCACATCATATTTGAAAAAAAGTTTAGTCAGTTTGAGTGACCAGGATAGGAGAATTGCCTGTGCATGACAAAGTCTGAATGTGTATGACTGTCCATGAATGTGATAAATAATGTGATTTGTAAAAGAAAAGCTTGTTTAGTTTGATTGTAGTGCTTTAATTACAAATGTATTATGATCTGTATGTGTTATTTTGCATGCTACATGTATGTTATGATTTTATTTTTTGTCATGTTTGAATATAGGAGTCCAAATCCTGCCAGGTAAGTGTGCAGTGTAGCAAACTAATCCTTCTTATAAAGAAACCTTCAAAGTGCTTGTAGAATGATGTCTAGATTAAAAACAAAAACTACATAATAATTGATTGGCATTTAATTCTTTTATCAGCTCTCGTGATATATTTCCTTCTGAATAGAAGTCAGAGGTAACCTTTTGAGATAGTACATGTATTATGTATATTATGTGTTGTAACATATGGTACAATATAAATATAGACCACAAGAATGATCCATATATGACTAGAGATTTATATAATACATGTATGGTAATGTAGCATTTCCTGGTAGACATGTTCATAATTCAACAAATCACACTGTAAAAAATAAATAGCCTTCTGTTCTATTGACTTACATAGAAAAGCAACTTTAAAAACCTTTTCCATGTATACTTCAATGCATTTCACATAATCTTCTTGCCATCTACAAAAGTTATATAATCATATTCCTAGATTGAAAGTAAGCCCAACCTTTGGTGTCACCAACATGTATATTATAGACTTATATAGGCATGCACACAGGGCCAAAAAACCCTTCTTTGTAGAGGCTGAATATAGGCTGCTTCCCCAACCAAACTAGCCTCTTTTTTCCCCAGTTTGGTCCTCAAAATTCCCCAGTCTTGAAATTTCCCATAGAATTTAGAACAAAATTAAATGATGGTGTTGAATTAAGGTCTTTTACTGCCTTATTAGTATTTTCCACTGCTTTTTGCTTTTCTGTTTTGAAGAACTTGCTAAAAGTTTGTGTTAAATTTGAGACCCCTTTTCCCAAAGTAAGTCAAAATCACGCATATTTTCCCCAAGATAAAGGCTGATGCCCCTTCCCCAAAAATGGTGTTTTGGCCCTGGCACATTTCAAATTCAGTGTTTGAAAGCGCTCTGCGTAGAGCTTAGATATTTTGTATTTGGCGTTATAAATGGCCCTCTGCAAAAGATATAAGACCCTTAAGGCCTTAGGGTAAAAAATAGCATGGCCTGAATCAATGTATCCCATTGACCGTCTTCTTTATGGATGAATTATACAAGTATAACATTTGATTGTAATGGTATCAAGTTTCTACATTTACATGTATGGCCATTATTATCACCAGGCCTCTTTGTTAATTACTCTGAACAAATTTACATAGTAGCAGTCAATACCATGGATCACAGGTAAAGGGCCTAGAATGAAATTTTCTTTCAAATGAGATGTGTTTTGCACAAGACTCAAGTCCAAACCTTGAAAAGTCGTGGTCACATATTTATATGCCCAAATATTCTTCGGGATATACCGGTATTATGGTAATATTAGCATTGTCTATCAGACAAATGGTTTCCATAGGATATCAATGGTTGTGTTTTTTTGCAGGTAAGTATAAGTAAGTTATGTCAAAATTACAGGTCAAGTTAAATTTTCTTTGCAATCAATTAATTATAAGAAATTAGTGCTCTGTAAGGAAGGGGTAGGACTATTGAGCTATTTAGAACCATCATAGCTGGTTGAAATATTAACAAATTGGTACTTTTTAGAAACGACAAAAAATTGCAATATCCATATTAATACTAGACATTTATACAAGCATTTTAAGGTCCAAAGATACTAATTATCGCAATTAAGTTTAGACAGCTATATCGAACAAGATCATAGACATTGACAATGTAAAAGAAAATGAAGCAATACAAATATTGTATGTTTATACAGCTTTTTGTGCTTTTGTAATGTATGTATATGTGTCTTTTATTTTGAAAAATTTTGCTTCAGCGTGAAATCTCATATAAAAAAATCAAAATTTTAATAATAATATGCTTAAAAACAATTAACAGAAACTGCCAAATTTTCTTATCAGGTCAATGATATTACACTACTTACTCTTGTTCCATAAATCTGCATTAAAGGAAGTGATAAAAATGAACAAATATTGCTGGCTGTACCAAAACTTAATTGAATATTTTAGCATTTACTTGTTTGTTGTCCCATTTACTGCTGAATTCTTCTCACTGGGGAAAAAAATACAGTATTGATGCATATAGTTGTGGCTTTGTGTGTCCCACTTACAGTATTTCTGCACTAAAATTTTCAGAGGATATTTAAGGTATTAGGGTTTATTAACAAGTTGTCTATTTTTGCAACTCAAAATTTTGTTTGCACTATTATTATCATGCTTGAGTTCATAGGAAGGCTTATTTGCTTGGCTTCCAAGAGGAGGTGTGAATATTTGCACCATGTATTGGTTCAAAGTTTTTTTCCTTTAAGAACCCTTTTCTCTGTACTGTATTGCATGCTAATTAAACATTCAAACATTGTACTGAAGACTTGAAACTTTTTGCATGTTTTTGAGATCATAATTATAAATTACACTACTTTGCTTTGCTTTTGTACTGAGCCCTTTATGAACTAAGAAACTTTCTTGATATAATATGTGAGATGACAATCTTCAGAATATCAAATCACATGAAGCTTAACCAATGTTAACCAATGTTACAATTTAGGATAATAATAGATTAATTGTGGACATGTATTACAATATGTTATATACTAGTATTTTAAATAAAATTTTCCTCTTAGGGATTTCTATTTTATCAAGACTCTTGTTATACTTACTATCAAGCACTGAGTATAGTCAAACAAGCTGCCCATTACTGGCACTTTTTGTACATTTATTTATTCTTTCTTTCTTTTAGGATTTCAAATATTCAAATGATATAATGGCATTCGAATTTTCATTTTACAATGTTAAAATATATTTTCACCTTGCTTATTAAATGCATAATTATTCTGAATGAATAGATTGCAAAGTATACCTTCCTCATTGAAAAATTCTCCCTTTGTTTGATTCTTATTTGCTATTTTTGGGAGCATTTTGAAGGATGTCCATGTTTAAAATCTTTGTTGAAATACCTATGTTTACTTAGATATTAAAAGTATTGTAGTAAATCAAGAAAAATAAGTAGATCTGGGACTCCAAACAAGTTTTCTCCCACAGCTTTGACTCATTAATTCCCTCTGATGAAATCAGAAGTGGGATATTGAAATGGCGTTGTCTTCTTGACATTATGAGATTCATTGTTTTCAAAGTTGGTGGTCAAGTTTTTACAATGTAGGTCTAGTCAAAATGTCTGTCCATTTAGACCTTCAAGTTCATCCCAAACCTATGGATAGGGATGAATTAAAAGATGAAAATTGTAATCAAAAGAGTAGTATACTATTTTGAGCTTTTGTTAAGTGATTTGTATCATGCAGCCAGCAGCGGATATTTATTCATCAAAATTTTATATGCTTGCTTATTTTATGTTTATATAATACTAGTACATTATATACACTGTAGTTCACTAGATTTGCTACTCAAATTTACTAATACCTTCACTGTAGACCCTTGTATTCCATTTAATTTGCTCGAAAAAAATTGTGTTTGAATTTATTGTGAAAAACAGGTACTTAGGTTTTTATGCCCCTGTTTAATGGACACTTGATAGGATCATTTTCAAATCAATAACGAATTGAGAAGGAATAAGCTGTGGTTTATTCAATTTGGAAGGGACATTGTCCATAGCTAGTAGATGACCCCCATTGATTTTGATGTCAGTAGGTCAAAGGTCAAGGTCACAATGGGTTTGACCACTAAAAGCTTGTCTAGTCAATAGCTAGAAAATAAAATGACCTACAGTCTTAAGCTCTTGTGTGTAATTTGGTAATGACTAGAAGATAACCCCTTTTGATTCTGAGGTCAAGATCACCATCTAAGGCCTTAACCACTCAAAGCTTGTCCAAGCCATAACTAAAGATGGCTTAGGCCTACAGTCATTTGATATTGAGATGGCTCATGGCTATTAGATAATCCTGAGTGATTTTGTTGTTCTTGGCCTTGGCCTTTAGAAGCTTGTCTTATGAATAAACTCAGAAGATTTTGACCTGCATTTTTGAGATTTAGTGTGGAGGTTAGTCATGACAAGTAGATTACCCTATCTATTTTGAAATCAGTAGGTCAAAGATCAAGATCAAAGTGACATCAACAACTAAAAGTTTGTCTGACTAACAACTCTAGAACATTTTGTCCTACAGTCCAAAAGATTTAGTTTGTAGTCATGACCAGTAGATGTATCTGATTGTTTTGAGCTCATTTGGTTGATGGTCAAAAGGTCACAGTGGCATTATGTGGACAATCCATGTCATATTTAATGGTTTAAGAAAGAATAATGGTTTAAGAAAGAATAAGGTTAAGTTTTTAAAACTAAGTAGGGACATTGCACATAACCAGTAGAAGCTATATGGATTTTTAGGTCATTGGGTCAAAGGTCAAGGTTACAGTTACACACCTTATCAATAACTTTAGAAGTAGTAAGTCTTAAGTTTTTGAAACTTTGTGTTTGAGGCCATGAGATGAAGGTCATGGTAATACTAATCAGAGCAAGAGTTTTCTCAGTGATAAGTTTGTGGAACATATCAGTTATATATAACATATTAACACAACACTTGACTTTTATATGCATAAGTATGTGAATATGCCACTGTGACAGCAAACAAAGTAGAGACATAATTATGTGTCTTATGGATACATTTCTTGTTCTCTTCCTTCAATTTAGAGTTTCAAGTAGTAAAAATAACTAACAAATTATTAACTGCACGCATCTACGTGTTTCTGTTTGAAATTTGTTTTCACAGCATTACCTTAATATTTAACTCGTAGTATAGTCTGATTTTATTGACCTGTCATTATAGCACTCATTTAAATATTTTGATTCCACTTTGGTTCTGTCCATACAGTTTATGACAATAAATATGTAGTTTATATAACTAATGTTTAGAAAAGTCACACTATTTTAATGTATAGCTTGTCATCAAATCCAGAATAGCACAGTTGGTTAAGTGATTGCCTAATATATGAGAGGTCTGTGGTTCGATACCAGTACTTTGTCACCACAACCACGTGTCACCATCACCACCACGTGTCACCATCACCACCATGTGTCATCATGTGTCATCATCACGTGTCATCATGTGTCACCATCACG